CCCGCTTACCTCTCGCGCCTCTCAGCGACCGCAGTTCTCGGCCTTTAATACTTTGCAAGTACACTTGCGAACGAGAAGAAGACGGCGGATCAATCGCTGTCGCAAGTTCGCCGCTCATCTCGGCGCAGATCAAGCCCACCTCCGCCTGGCGCATTTTCTCCGCCGACCCTCGACTTTCTCTATACTACATCTCCAACCAGTCCAACTCAGTACATCATACACTTACCGCTCTTTTAAAATACCGATACCTCAACCGAGCGACTTCGACTTCCGATCCTACATACCAGGAAACCCGATGCCCCCCGGGGTATTACTCTTGAACTCACCTAGCGCCGACACCGAGGCCCGCTGATACCGACACTGACAGACGCAACACTTCTGCCCTCTCAGACGGCCCCTAAAAGCCCACACCACAAATACAACTCCTCCCAAAGAGCAAAACCAAAAAGCCTACTAACCATGCCGCCATCTCCCTCCAACCTGTCGCAACCAGCCCCCTCCGACCTCGAATCCGACCTCCTCAACCACCTAGCCACCACGCACGCGCTCGAAGACCTACACACAACACTCCTATCAACTCTCCAGCGACTCGGCTGGACCGAGAAAATCCGGCACCTTTCAACCGAGCTCCTCCGCGCAAACCGGTGCGAGCGATTCGATGATGTCGTGGAGGCCGTCGTCGCCTCTGCACAGGGCCGATCACATCCGTTCCTCGTCGACTCCGAAACACAGAACAATAGCAACAGCAGCAACGGGGATGGAGACGGCGGCAGCGGGTTCTCGTTCGAGAATGCGGACGCGCGGATCCCGAGCGTTGTTGTTGAGCAGGGGGTTCGTGCGATCAAGGACGTTTTAAGGGAGGTGGTTATACTCGAGGACGATGGGGAGGGAACAGGAAGCGGTGGTACTGGGGGTAGTAATATTTCTGTTGAGGTGGGAGGAAATGGCACAGCGTCGACGACGGGGTCAAAACGGCAGGGAGATAAGTCGGTTAATGGTGATACAAGTCCGACCAAGAAGGGGGACAAGAAGACAAAACAGGGGAAGCAAGCTAAGTGAGTTTTGTTCAAGGGTGCATTTTATGCTTCGGGGCATTTTTTTTTTTTAATTATAGGGTTGCCTGAGAACTTTTTTTTCCGTTCCTTCAAGGCGTTGAGGGTAGGGACTTCTGGTGTTCAGAGTGGTGGCATTGTACCATGATACCAGCCTTTTGATATGTACAACACCTAGGTATTCACTTTAATGGATACATCTGCGGGGTCTACGTCTACTACGTGACATGTACCAAGTCAAGCTGGCGTGAATCGCGTCAAGGATTACGAGGGAGTAGTATAATTCGAAACCAACGTTGTTCGTTTAATGTTGTCGAGGAGGATTCGTTCCTGTCGCCAGGAAATTCTATCCCCACCTCGGCTAGATCTAACTAGGGTCGGCACATAACGCGATTATGTAGAAAAAGAAAATGGACTTTAGTCGTAGAGGCTGTCATCATTACCGGCTTCACCAAATGTGTTGCTGCCGTCCTGCACTTCGTTCGCAGAGGGGAAGCGGAAGAAAGAGCTGCCGCCAGAGTTTTTGAGGCTCTGGGCGAAAGCTTCGTATCTGCGGATCTCCACATCGCTGACGGATCGGCGGGCCGTCTTCATGGCCTCTTCGAAGTGAGCCCGTGTGAGTTCTGGAACAGGGTCTTCGCCCTCCTCTTCCTCATCCTCCATCTTCACATCCTCACCAGCAGCCTCACGTTGTTTCTGGCGGTCGATATCAGCAGAAATGGATTCCTTGATAGCGAGCTTGACAGCACGCTGCGTAACGAATCCAAGATCGGCACCAGAGAAACCGTGGGTCTTGCTGGCAATGAATTCCATGTCGACATCGGTGGCGACAGGTGTCTTGCGGAGCTGAGCCTTGAGGATACCCTCACGGGAGGCCTGGTCGGGAAGAGGAACGTAGACCAGGGTGTCAAGACGGCCGGGACGCACCAGAGCGGCATCGAGCTGCTCGGGTCTATTTGTAGCACCAATGACGAAAACGTTCTTCTTCGAGGTCATGCCGTCCATTTCTGTACTCGTATATTAGTATCGGCTCACGAATAATCGCCAAAAAGGAAGTTCACTTACCAGTCAGAAGCTGGTTGACGACACGGTCAGAAGCACCGCCAGCATCTCCAACGGAACCACCACGTGATTTGGCAATAGAGTCCAACTCATCAAGGAACACAACGCAAGGAGCAGCAGCACGAGCCTTGTCGAAGATGTCACGGATGTTGCTCTCAGACTCACCGAACCACATGCTCAGCAACTCAGGACCCTTAACAGAGATGAAGTTTGCTGCACACTCATTGGCAACGGCCTTGGCAAGCATGGTCTTACCGGTACCAGGAGGACCATAGAACAAAACACCGCGAGAAGGAGAAAGACCAAACTTTTGGAACTTTTCGGGGTGGTCGACGGGGTACTGGACGCTCTCGATGAGCTCGCGCTTGACCTCCTCCAGACCACCAATGTCTTCCCAGCGAACATTGGGAACCTCGACGACTGCAACCTCGCGAAGAGCAGAGGGGTTGGAGACGCCAAGGGCGTAGCGGAAGTTCTCCATGGTAACGCCGAGAGAGTCCAAAACCTCCGCGTCGATTGTGTCTTCGTCGAGATCGATAAGGTCCATCTTTTCACGGATCTGTTGCATGGCAGCTTCGGAGCACAGGGAGGCAAGATCGGAACCGACGTAACCGTGAGTCTCGGCAGCAATGGTCTCCAGGTCGACATCTTCTCCGAGCTTCATGTTCTTGGTATGAATCGAGAGAATCTCCAGACGGCCAGTTGGGTCAGGGATACCAATGTCGACTTCACGGTCGAAGCGGCCGAAGCGGCGGAGGGCCGGATCGATGGAGTTGGGTCGGTTGGTGGCGGCCATGACGACGACGTTGGAGCGTGCCTTCATACCATCCATAAGGGTCAGGAGCTGAGAGACGACGCGGCGCTCAACTTCTCCATTGGTCTTCTCACGCTTGGGCGCGATAGAGTCAATTTCATCAATGAAGATGATAGCGGGAGAGTTCTTCTCGGCTTCCTCGAAAGCCTTGCGGAGGTTCGACTCAGATTCACCAGCCATCTTAGACATGATCTCGGGACCGTTGATCAGGAAGAAGAAAGCGCCGGTCTCGTTGGCCACCGCACGAGCCATGAGAGTCTTACCGGTACCAGGAGGACCGTACATGAGGATACCACGAGGAGGCTTGATACCGATGGACTTGAACAGCTGGGGGTGACGGAGGGGCAGCTCGACCAATTCACGGATTTGAGCCATCTGTTTCCGGCATCCACCAATGTCATCATAGCCAACTTCGTTCAAGTTGTTCTCTTCATCTTCACGCTGAATCGGCTCGCCTTCACTGTGGATGATTGTGTCTGGAGCGACGATACCGTACTCTGGGGGGTCCACTTCAACAACCTTGAATTCGACTTGCCTCATACCTCCTCGTACTGTGAAGAGATCACCCTGCTTCACGGGCCGGTATCCATCACGGAAGTAGGGGGCAAGGTAAACGTCAAAGAGAGACCCAGTAAGGCCTTCAACGGTGTCTGCGATGGGGAGGACAGCGATACGCTTGGCCTGTGCGGGAAGGAGGGGTTAGCGCCACTTTATCGCCACATATCATCACATTTGAGAGCAACTTACATATTTGATGTCAGGGCAGGCATGGATAGTGATAATGTCACCATGTTTCACGCGGAGATTATGCCTGACAACCCTGTTGATGCGGGCACTTCCATCATCAAGCTCGTCGTCAGCCAGCACAATCAGAACCGTCTCCTTGCGCTTCTTGCCTCGGACAAGAACTGTGTCGCCTCTGAAGAGTCCGAGGACGTCCATAGTGTTGTTGGAGAGAGAGATCGTGGAGTTATCATCGTTAACGGCATCAGTAACACTAAACATCGAGCTATTAGCAACGCCCAAATAACACCGTACGGCCGAATTAGCGGGTCAAGAGCTCACATCAAGCTGTTAGGCTTCTTCTTCTTCTTCAGGATAGCTGTGGATGTGTCGAGCTCCTGCGAAGAGTTAGCAATTTGATCCGGGCCTGCTTCTCTGGTTTATATCTCAACTCACATCCTTTTTCTCAGCACCAGAAGCATCGCTAGGCGAAGGTTAGTCTAATCACCGGGCAGGAACGCAGGTGAGCATGATGACGTACAGAAGCTTCTTCTTGTGATCGTGCTCTGAGCTCATCTTGAAAGAAAGCGCGGATAGATGATGGAACAAGGGATTCGATTACGCAACGTAGACTCAAAGAGAGTTTACGCAAGAAGTTGGCTGTGCCGGACCTGAAGACGCCCTAGCAACAGGAAGGAGATGCGAAGAGCGGAGAAAAAGAAATGGGACGAGTTCCAGGAGACAACGGAGATGCCTAGGGAACGTAGTAAAGTAGAAAGATGGATAAGGTTAAGGACAGAGACAGATAAAGAGAGAGATGGAGGTGAGATCGGAAGTGGACAGAAGAGCTCCAGTTATGAAAGAGGTGACGATAACTCTCGACCGCCAAGGTGTTCTGTTGATGACTTAAGCGCCCTCTCTCTGTAACTATCAGCCGCCACCGCCTGGGAGAAGCACATGGAACCCAATCGAGGCAACCGTCACTCTCTTTTTCACAGGCTCTTCTTGTGGATGTCAGCCTTGTCGCCTTCGCATTTTGATTACACATATATAATTTCGAGAATTGCCTCTCTCTGAGGCGGCAGGCTACCATGGAGTGCGTCAGTCCCTCGCGCAGGGCCCTAGGTAGTTGGTGCCTGAGGAGCCCAGACAATCGGCTCCTCCATGGCTCAAGCCCTGTTGTGCCCTGGTTTTTACAAACGCACTGGAAACACCAAACAGACAAGGGGGTTTTGGGTAAAGTGCCTCACAAGGCTTTCTTGCTCGTGGCCTTGTAATAGGCTGCGCTGCTGGCATGACTTTCAAACACGTCCACAAGAGATGGTTTCCGTCAGTCAGCTAACCTTTTGAAACTTTGCTTTGAGTGTGCTGTTCAAGCATGACCCAAATATACCTCAAAAGGATTCTTCGCCTGCCAGTCCTGTCTACGTAGAAGATCAAGGTACGCAAGAGTCTCAACAAGGCTTCCCTGCGCTCTCTTGACCTCATCTTGCCAACCCGAGTGGATCTAGCCTTCAATAGTACTCTGGAACTTATACCACCCTTGCCAGAAGTATCATAAGGACCGGAAGATCTTGCCAACAGTTTCCCGAAGAAATGGTACCTCGAATGCGATGCAAACCAGGGTATCCAGAAGATTTCAACAATGCAATCAAGAGAAGTCCTTTAATGGGCGACGACTTCAAAGAGCTCATCAAGAGCTCAGACAGCCCTCCACTCTTTGTATACGGACATTTGATGCTTCCTAGAGTCCTAAAATATTTCGCAAACATGCGTGAAACTGAGAAGGTCGATATGGTCTACGCAACCCTCCCGTTACACAAGCTTTACCATTTCTCAGAGAACGGGGAAGCCGGTCTGCCGACTATCAAGGAATCATTCTCCCCGAGCGACGTGGTAGAGGGGTTTCTCGTTTTTGGATTGACCGCAGAACAGCGTAATGTCGTCAAGGAGAACGAGCTTGGACGACTCGAGCAAGTGGTATTCGCCGCTGTCCAGGTCCAAGTATCTCAAATGGACACAATTTCTTTTTATGATGTCAAATGCGAAAAGTCGGTTGATGCGGGAACTTTCGTATGGAACTCGAAAGAGATTGGCCTAACGCCCATGGAAAGCACTTTTTGGCCTATAGATGACTTTCTAGAACATCAGCTCTATGAAGGGATTGTGGAATACCAAAGGCTGGAACGACTTCAAGGCAAAGATTAGAGTACGTTTCTTGGGGATATTCATTTCTTCTTGAATTATGCGTTGGATCTTATATACCCGCCTGCTGAGTTAACAGTATATCAGCAGAGCTATTATTGCTTTTGTTTTATCGTATCCTTGCTACAACCTGAAGCACAAGTTTTTGGATAGCATATCTTCTAAAAAAAATCTATTTATGAAAAGGATACATCGAAAAGAAAACTTACAGACCACAAACTCCCTTCATATATACAAGATAATAACTTGACTCAAAGAAAGCTCATAGCGTAGAAGCCCACAAGTCTGAGAATCCCCAAGCCCCTGCCGCGAAACTCACATATCCTACCAGATGCGCGGGAAATCCAATCCCGTCCTCAAAGCTCCAGTGCAGACACAACGGAGTCCAGCAAGCATTGTTCACAAGGCTCTTCTTCCAAGCTCGGACTTCAGCATTTAGCTCCGCCTGCTTCTCCTTCGATGCACCCTCGGCCTGAGCGTTGTTGCGCAGTTCTCTAGCCCTCCACAGCACAAAGTACTGGAGAAGGATGTGCCCAAGCCAGCCCCTGGTGCTCCAGAGCCCCAATTTTCCAGCACCACCCCATCGGTCGATCACGCGCTTCGAGATCACGCCTTGGGTTGCAAGGAATGAGACGTTTTCGAGCGACTGGTAGATGAGGTTCGAAACGATCTGAAGCAGAGTCAGGACGTACATTATGGTATCGGACGGAGGAGATCTGAGCGTTTCCGAGGCCCAAGATATGAGAGGTGGTAGACCGAGTAGTCGGAGCGTATACCGGGCTTGGGACATGAGTCCAGCGAGGGCGAGAAGTGGGGATGTCTGTGCTGGTGTTGATGACGATTTCTCGGCCGAGGAACCCGATCGGAGGCGCGCGAGCAGGCCAAGCCGGGTCTGAAGCGCGATCCAGGGTGCGGATGCGAGAGTGTGATGTAGTGCGTGGGAGATGTATTGGACGAAGGCGAAGGCTCGTTCCTGGCCAGAAGCTGTAGACACAAGTCTATTGGTAGATCGTTGTTAGTCAAGCGAACGAGCGATAAGCGGCGGACGAGATGTAGAAACGGACGAGGGCTAATATCGGCCCATGCCGGGAACCTGTGCAGCTCAGATTGATTGCCTTACTTGTCTAGACGCCCGTTAAGTTTATCAGCTGTTATGAGAGCTGCCAGCAACCTGCGCTGTGCAGCCTGTCTTGTCGGGTTCCCTCCCGCGGCGACCGGCTTCTCAGTGTTGGGCGCTTTGTCGTCCGCCATGGTGATAGAGTTGGGGGGGATTGAACGGTCCTGGACGTTGTCCTGGGCCTGGCATAAGAAGAAATAAAAATGAACGAATTCCCCACGATCGACGGGGGTCGAGAAATTAAAAAGTCTCCCTGCCTGCCGACTTGATCACAATCCAAGCGGTTGCCCCGATTCGGTCTGGTGCCGAGGCTCGGAATGCTCCCGTCGCCTTCAGGTTCAGAAACCGACAGCTTCTCACGTCTTATTTATTTCCGAATACTCATACCCATTTTTTATTCGATTCGACTCGGCTCGGGCGCTTCATGCGAGACAAAATGCTTACAAAATGTGATTTGATTATCGACGCCAGGTAAAACAAACTGCATAGCAACAACACCCGAAATCCCACCCCTAGCTTGTGCCCCCCAAATTGTGCCGAGGTCGGCCGTGTCAGCAAGCAAAAACAAGTACAGTTGGATATCGAATTCATCAATCATTTTTGGCATCACGTATGTCGTGGTATCATAACCCAGAACCCAGATAACATTCCAGCGGACGTTCAAGAATAGAGACCATCACTATCACTGTCCTCTTCATCTCCCTCATGGCTAACCAAACCCCCACGTTGTGTGTCATGGGACGTAGCCAGTCCATCCAACGGCTCGGTGTCCAGCTCATGACTTGTCTCAATACGAACCTCCGTTATGTGAGATTCCATCTCCTCGTTTACCTCCCAGATCGTTGAGAGGTTGCTCATCAGGGCGACAATGAGAGATGATTCATATCCCGGAATGTGCTGTCTATAGCACCGTCTCATGCGACGACGTTGAGACACACTATACCCGTACTGGGAAAGATGAGGTGGCACGGGAGGAGGTTTAGGAGGGCGTAAACCGAGATTTCTGACAATACTTGCATCCGACATTGGTGTTCTCCAAAAGTCCCAGTCATTCAGAGGCGTGGCATCCGGATCGTCACAGATTGCGTTGAGGCTAAGCCAGGTTCTTTCTTGGAGTTTACACTCACAGTGATGGCATGCTCTGAAGTGGCAGCGAACAGGACGTGAGTATGTCTGGGATTGGGTGAAACTTGGTTCGTCTTCCGCAGTGACTCGGCCCTGGTGTGTTTGGAAATGATATCCGGGTTGGAACCCAGCTCCATGGCCGGGGCTGAACCGGAGGTCGGACATATACATATTCCTCTCCTTCTCGCACATTTCCAGAACTCCTAGCTTTTGTTCAATCAACTTGTCTCTCTGTGCGTCGGTATATTCTCCTGCAAGAATCGCCTCGGTTATCCATTCGCTGAGAAGCGAGCCGGTTTGGTCGATCGGACCTGTATAACCCGAAGTGTCTTCACTGCAGAGGTAGAACCAGCGCAGGAACGGTATTTTGCCGCAATTGTTGCATGTCTCGTATGCATTGATTCTCCACTGGCGTGTCACCGTACTGTGATAACATCTTTCTTGATAGACGACCTGGCGAGGGTCCGGAACCACAGGTTTCATGGCAAGCGGCCGATAAAAGGACCGTGCTGCTTCAATTGAATCTTCTATGTCTGAAAACATATCTTCGGTTGTGTCAAGTGATTCCTGGTGTTCAAAAGTCACGTCGGGCTCTGAGCCTGGCGCCACGCCTACCAGCACTGGATAGCAACCCAGGTCGTCGCTATCCATTGCGACTAGGATACTCAGGCAAGTATCCAAAGAAGAGGAGTGTTTCGAAAGGGAACTCAAAATATGTAAACATTGTAAGGAGTGAATGTGTCTCGGCGTGTGTTCAGCGCAACCCCCAGGCGCAACCCAGGCGCAACACTCTGGTGCCACTCCATGCAACTCATTGTGAGAGAATGAGCAGAATACATTGTTCTGGCTTAAGCTATTTCACAGCAGGATCTGGACCACAAAAAATCATCACATTGTTTCACAGGTAACTGCTGATGCTTAGTAGAGGGAATGCCTTTTTCCAATGCGATTGCGTCTTTGTATGTGCCTGAGGCATCAATTGGGTATAAAGGAACAGGCGCAACATGCTTTCCAGCCAGACTCCAAGGAAGAAGCCATGTATGGCGAGATTTGTAGTCATTGCATCATTATTCCCGTGTAGGTATGCATAAATACATGGCAATACTGTGATGCCCACATACTATCTACCGAGACGGCAGTTTGGAAGTCGGCGGAGTCCGAAGCCGCACGACGGAATATAAGACGACCGGCCATCTGCCGGCCTCGTGGCCGACCTGCCAGTTCCCTCCACTCAGCTCCAGACCACATTCCTGACCTTTTGGAGTCTTTTCTTGGGCTTTATAGCGACTCTTCGCCTGCTGTGGTTTGAAAAACGCGTGCAGAGCTATTATAACCGCCGGGTACCGCCCAGACTAGGCCAGCGCCGCCAATTGACTCCGCTTCGCAACCTCGGTAAGCTCCAGGACTCCCGATCTGCTGTTGTCAAGCGCCAGTCCAGCCTCTCCATAAACAAACACCAACCCCTGTCCTATATTATTATTCGCCCAACCCAACTCCAACCCCATATTTTTCCCTCTTCGTCCCTGACCCGCCACGTCTTCATCGCTCCATCTTCCTTCCCACATCGTCTGCCATCGCGCTTCTGCGTTCATTACCTTTCCCCAAGCTCACCGCGTTTTCCTGATCGCTGCAGGTTCCCTCTTAATCGCTCCTCTACCGTCGCAGCCATGTCGGTAAAGTTCCAGGACGCCCAAAATGCCGCCACCGCCGCTGCGGGCGACATATCGATCCGGAAAGAATCAAAGGAGCTGGCGCATAAGGTCGGCGAACGCCTGACTGGAGGCAGCGCGGAAACTGGTTATCTCGCCGTACGTCCACTTTGCGGAAGTCAAGATTTTGCTGTTTGGAGTCGCTGACTGGATCTCGCGCCTCTAGATGTATCTCCGAGAGCTGCAAAACAACCCTCTGCGCACAAAGATGCTGACCTCCGGTGTCCTCTCTTCCGCGCAAGAGTTTCTCGCATCCTACCTCGCCAACGATGTGAGCAAGCACGGCCACTACTTCAGCTCCCGTGTGCCCAAGATGCTCCTGTACGGCATGTTCATTAGTGCTCCTCTGGGTCACCTTCTTGTCGGCATTCTGCAGCGCATCTTCTCGGGTCGCACCAGCTTGAAGGCCAAGGTTCTTCAGATTCTTGCCAGCAACCTGATTGTACGTACATGGTTCCCCCCAGCAACTGTCCTATCGTCGCAGCAAAAATCCTAACTGCGGCGGCTCAGGTGTCCCCCATCCAAAACGTCGTTTACTTGACGTCAATGGCCATTATCGCTGGTGCCCGTACCTTCCACCAGGTCCGCGCTACCGTCAAGGCTGGCTTCTTCCCTGTCATGAAGGTCAGCTGGATCACATCGCCTCTGGCGTTGGCCTTCGCCCAGAAGTTCCTCCCTGAGCACACCTGGGTGCCATTCTTCAACATCATTGGGTTCTTCATTGGAACCTACGTCAACACCCACACCAAGAGAAAGCGTCTCGAAGCTTTGCGCAAGGTACGTTTTCGCTAACATTCGACAATTTTCTTCTTACCTAACTTTATGCAGCGTTACGACCAGCGACGTGGCGGCCCCGGCAGCGAGTACGAGAAGGGACCCGGTGGCCCCGAGTACCGGTAGAGGATTCAAACCCCTCTCACATTCCAAATACCTCCAATCGGTCGAACAGGACATGACGAACGACGCCCCTAATACCGGCATGTTTTCCGCTATTGTCCGTTATTAAGAAACACGACGCTATGGTGACTGTTGACCGTGAAACCAAACACCTTCCCCACATTCCTCGGCCCAAAACTATATCCCTACTCCATTCCCGCATTTTCTTTGTACTCTTGAGACTCCGACAATATACTCGCCGGATCAAATCGCAACAAATCTAACCCCGTCTACTAGACGAAGATATGTTTTTATCCTTTTACGATGAATGGTTCTTCTTTCTGTCTTACACCCTCGATCTTGGCTTCGGCAACTTCATGCATAGTTTTGAATTTATAATGCCTCTTGGTGCATTTCCTGTATTCCAATTCCAAGAGTAGACTTGTACGTACTATGCCTCAATGCAGAAAAATGCCGTCCTTTTTTTGAATTCGGAGTAGATTAGAATTTGCTCTCACCATATCTTGCTCGCTTCTGCATTGGGAAGCAGAAAAAAAAAAGACTAATAACAGGCAGAAATGGATCGTTGTAGATCTCAACGGCTTTCCAGTCCCATAGCTTCATACACAGTTCTGCCTATTCAACCTCCATAGCACTCTCACTCTTGCCTCTCTTTTCCCTAACCCATGCAACGAAGTCATCCAGAGCCCCGGGCCACGCGCCATCCTCGCTCCACCATCCAAACGCTTCGTCCTCGTGGCTCTTGCGCATAAATACCTCGACCTGCTGCCACAGATCCTTGTTGATGGGTCTTTTGCCGCGTCCCTCAAGGAATTCAATCCACAGGTCCAGCCAGGGAGTCGTGGCGGTGTTCCAGGCGACCCCGCCCTTCGGGGTAGTGAAGAAGAGGTTCCACTGTTCGACAGCAATTTCGAATTGAAGGTTGCGCTGGCCCTGGACCAGGCAAAGGGGGAATGTGTAGCGGTATACGCGACGGAAGAGGTCGGGTTCTGTGGGGATGCGTGCGCGGAGGTCGGAGGCATGGGCGGCCATCTTGTCAATGGTGTCGCATCTGATTTAAGTCAGACGAATGTCTCTAACTTATATTAGGCGTAGTTGATAGGGTATGACTGCTTACTGAACGGATCTCCAGCCATTTAGGAAACCTTCGCGAGTGAATTCGCCCATGGATGGAGATTTTAGGAGCTCGGCGATGGCGAGACAGGTTACTTCGTCCAGCTCGACGTTGATATCTCCGAGGTAACGCATGGCGCCATCAATTCCGATTGTATCTGGGTCTTCCTCTGGTGAATCTACTTGCAGTTAGCACGACCAGTGTAATGTCATAAAGCCAGAGTAAATGTTTCAAGCAGAATGAAGTACCTCGATATTTATCGAAGATCTGATTTATGGCAGGAGTTGCCCCTGCTGCAGCCTGGGGGCTCTGAAAGTATCTGAATAATACTGTTAGCATTTGAATCGCGGAACCATTTATAGTCTGTCTGCAGAAAATGTAATCGAGGTAATATAGCTTCCAGTGGGCGAGTGCATCAACATCAGTAAGGTCGCTAGTTTGAGACTCTAGAGTGATCCGGAGTTACCCAAACATTCTCAACCATAAGACTGCCTCAAGAGAAGATCGGAACTGATATCCGTGGCACTATTTATCCGCACTGATGTTGGTAGGCTAGGCAGCCAAGCCAAGCTTAGTGTAAGCAGAACCAGTCAAATGGCACGATACTAATAGAATGTATAGACTCCGCCGTAGTCTTGACGCCTCAGAGACGAGATAAGTTATGGCGTAGTCGCTCGAAAATAACCCGCTTTTTGAGTTGTATCAAGCGGGCATGGACGGTATGCTACAAGAGAACCTCATAATAGCAGGATCAGAGACATGAAGAGGATTTGTCTCTGACATTGATTCATAAATGGTTCTCACTCCAATGGATGCCTAGTGCAATGCGGATTTCAAATCTACGCAAGAACCCCCAAGGCTGGTGTTGAGTGATGCATCCTCCCTGCTAGGCTGGGGCGAATGGAAGCAACGACATGGGGAATAGCAGGACATGGTTGATAATAAACTGACAAACTTACGCATCGATAGCTTCTTCGGTGTTCCATCGATACTGCTTCAGAAACTGTTTATCAAAACGTCAGTGTATATGCATCACGTGATTGCATTTACAAAGTTGATGTGTTGTAGGGACATATCCAGAGCAAGACAGGTTAAATGGTAGGGAAATTGCAGGAAATCTACCTTTGTTGCCACAGTATCCTTCGCTTGTGTGAAGCTCACAAACTGGGCTATTTGCTGTTTCTGTGCTGAAGAGTACGGCGGCATAGCGGGGTGAACGCAGGAACTTTGCGGGGCACAGATAATCCGCTGGATATATTAGGGATGATAGTGAAATAAACACAAAAGTAAAGAATTAGCTGCAAGAGTAACAGCTAAATAGCAGAGATAGATGTTGTAGAGGTTAAAGAAAAGTCAGTCAAATTAACCAGGATATTGCTTGGATTCACTGGAAAGTCCACTCACAGCAGGAGATGCTGACTGATCTAGGCACGTGCTATCCAGGGTACTTTCTAGATTGGGACTCACAGCCATCCCCCGAGAACATTAATTTTAGTTTACAGATAATACCCCATAGATAGGTAGGCTATTCTGGCTTCTATTGTTGAAGATAGGGTTCTTGATCCAATCAACATCCGTAAAGCATACGCATGATGGTCAGTTCTCGACTCTTATGTTCTGGAGTAAACTGCCGGTGGATCGGCGACACTAGCGGGATTTCTTGGCGCTGGAGAAAAATAGAAAAAAAAAGTTTCGAGACCATCAGTTGCAGATTTCCCAAGCACCACCAATCCAGACCAGCGATATCATGGCTCCTGGACGGACAACCAAGCGGAGAAGAGTGAGCCCGCCAAGTGATGAAGACAATGCTTCCTCCAAAACCTCGCGCTCGAATCTAGGCGACTTTTACTCCCACGCCGCCGAATGGGACCTCGAACAGGATTACGAACAACGGCCGCGCAAGCTGAATAAGAAGGACAAGGAGAGGACCAGGCTTCCAATTAAGACATCAGAAGGGTTCCAAAATGTCGAAGCGCCTGAGCCCGAGCCTGAGGCCGAAGAATCGGACAGCTTTCTTGGGACTGACGATGATGAATCGGAAGATGGCGACGCCGGCGAGGGCGAGGAAGAGGAGAGCGAAGAGGAGGCGCCCAAGATTCCATTGAAACAGCAGATCATACAAGCGAAGGAGGAGATTGCTCGGACCGCGACGCTTATCAATGAAGACCCGGAAGAGCATATTTCATCGTTCAAGATCATTGCTGAGATGGTGGAGGGCGGATCACACGTCGCTGTCAAGAAGCTAGCACTTGCAGCGCAGGCTGCGATTTATAAGGACGTTATTCCGGGCTACCGAATCCGACCGCTGAGCGAGGAGGAAACGTCCGCGAAGATTTCGAAGGAAGTGCGAAAACTCCGGAATTACGAACAGTCGCTTCTTTCGGGCTACAAACATTATATTCAGACGCTTCTGGCTCTAACGAAGCCTTCGAAAGACAAGGCGAATAATGATGCGGGCCTGAAGAATGTTGCGATCAATTGCGCATGCAACCTGCTCCTTGCTGTGCCACATTTCAATTTCCGTGCGGAACTGCTGAGAATCGTTGTCAATCAGTTGGCGAGGAGGCGCATTGATGACGACTTCGTCAAGTGTCGGGACACTTTACAGGATGTATTTTCCCAAGACGACGATGGAGTAGTCTCCTTAGAGGCGGTCCGGCTACTTTCGAAAATGATGAAGGCGAGGGACTTTAAAATCCACGGAAGCGTCTTGGATACGTTCCTCCACCTTCGTCTGCTTCGGGAATTCTCATCAAAGGCCTCACGAGATAGAGTTGACCGCGACGACGAAGATAACACCATTGGTGGTAAGAAGCAGAAGCAGAAAAAGGAATTTCGTACCAAACGAAACCGCAAGCTTGATAAAGAACGCAAGGCAGTGGAAAAGGACATGAAGGAAGCAGACGCCCTAGTATCACACGAAGCACGGGACAAAAACCAAGCGGAAACACTGAAGCTTGTTTTTGGCACGTACTTCCGTATCTTAAAACTTCGAGTCCCTAGCCTCATGGGTCCTGTTCTTGAAGGTCTCGCGAAGTATGCCCACATGATCAACCAGGACTTCTTTGGAGACCTGCTTGAAGCGCTTAAGGACTTGATCGGTCATGCCGAGCAAGACGAATTGAACGAGGGTGGCGACGATGATGACGAGAACGATGAAACCGCGGACCAAAGCAAGACCAATCGAGACTCCACACGCGAGGCTCTGCTCTGCACCGTAACCGCCTTTGCCCTACTCGAAGGGCAAGACGCCAGCAAAGCTGCTGCTGCCCTACACCTCGACCTCAGCTTCTTTATCAAACACCTCTACCGAACCCTCTACTCCCTCTCCGTTAACCCAGATGTTGAATATAACCCCAACGCATCCAACACTCTCCGCCTCCCAGACCCATCCTCATCCTCCTCATCCGACCCGCAAGACAACCGTCGAAGAAAAGTCAACTTCCAAACCCCTATGGTCCTCCTTCTCCGCTGCCTCAACGCGTCACTAATCTCCCGCGCAAATGGCATGCCCCCGCCCGTCCGCCTAGCAAGCTTCGCAAAAAGATTAATGACGGCCTCGCTCCAAGTCCCTGAAAAGTCAGCTCTTGCAACCCTTGCACTTCTCGACAAGCTTGCGAGACACAACGCCCGCCGTATCTCCTCATTGTGGTATAGTGAGGAGCGCAAGGGTGACGGTGTTTTTAACCCGTACGCGACCGACTTTGAGGCGACAAATGTCTTTGCAGGTACGGTTTGGGAGGGAGAGTTGCTCAGGCTTCATTATTGCCCCGCTGTCAGGGAAGCTGTTGGTGGAATTGAGAAAATGATTGTTACCCGGGATTAGCTTAATTTGCATTGTTGATATAGGATAAAGGAATTATAACATTTACAGCACATTAAATGGTGGCTTTGAATATTATGGCCAGATTTTTTCTGGTGATTTGTAAAATATGATCTATGATTAACAACACTTAGATCATCTGCCGAGAGCATAAACTTCTCGATTCAAAGCGACACTTTGCCGCACAGTCGCAGGCTGCTGAGAAAGAAAGAAATGCCAAACACTTGGTTGGACTTGTCCCGGGAAAAAAAAAGAGAGAGAGAGAACAAAACAAACGATACTTGTACAAAGACTTCCCCCCTCACACCCACCACCACCAATCCATATTCTTATCCCATATTCTTATCCCCCAGCCTGAGATACCAATCCGGATAGGTCAACAGGATAATTAGGAAGATATTTCAAGAATATCTACTTCATTCTGCGAGTCATCCATCGATTGTCATGGAGTAACAGAGAAGAAACAGAACACAACACGCCGACAACAATCGTCCCTTACCAATAAACACCAACCAATGTGCACCCGAGCCAACACAACCAAGAACAAAACACCACCCTTGTCGAGTCAGATATACACGTTTATTCACGTGAGGAAAGGCAAGAAGCAAGAGGCTTAAGCGAATTTATCAACACGGTAACCTGGCTCGCTGTTTATCGACCCGTTGCCACCTCCGTACCACTCAATGTCGGCGAATTGGCCTTGGCCGTGGCCATGGCCGGGGTTAGGAAGGGTAGGGGGTAGATGAACCGGTGGGGGTGAGAAATACTGTAGCTGTCCTTCGTGCTGGCCCTGGGGAGGAAGGGAGGGTCTCACGTCACGGAAAGAGGAGGAGCTGGCTATTCCAGACGCAAATGGGGGATTCGGAAGGTCATAGCCCATGGCCGATAAGGAAGAGGCTGTTTCTCTGCCAAAGTTGTGATGAGACTGGGAGCCGGGAAAAGGATGGCTGTGGCCTTGGGCTTGCCCATATGCAGGGGTCTGGACCTGGCGGTTGAGCTGTGCAAAAGTACGCTCGCGGTCTGCCATTATCTGTCTCTGATGCTCATTGCGCAGAGCAGGGTGAACTAGGCTTGGACTTTTTGCCCTCTGGGTTTGTCCCCCAGCGCCGGCAGCAAGTGCCGGAGTACCGGACGGGGCGGGTGAAGCCGAATTGGGAGGTACGGCCGCGGGGCGTATTTGCATAGGAGCCGATATTGCGAAGCGAGGGCTCTGGGTTTCTTGGCTGTTGGCATACTTGCCCTCCTTCGAATGGCGAGGGGTACGTGGGCGAAGAAATCTATTCCCCGATTGACTGTCACCATCACCCTTTCGGCGGAAACCACTGAACATGCCTCCCTTTTTCTTGGGGGTTTTCAAATCTTCGCCGCTCAAAACACTGCGGGATTGGCTCTCAGACTCACGTTTGGAAGATGATAGAATGCTGTTGCTTTCTGAGACCGAGCCCTTTCTCTGGCTATCCTCGGCGGCAGCCTTGGGATCTGAGATCGGCCTAGGGCTGGAGATACGACGCAACTCAGCATCCTTTGTTTCGGGGCTCTTCGATATCTCGTTATCGTGTGCCGAAATGTCTCTCTTCATTGCGGCTGGGGTAGCGACGCCGTCAGTTTGAGAATCAGGGGTGTTAACAGCTGCAGTGGAAGATGAACCACTGTTGGTCAGGCCCTGCTCGTCGGGTTCCTTTCCTATAGTGGTTTCAGTCTGTTGCACAGGAGCAGCTTTGCTTTCCTGGCTGGGCTTCTTGTTAGAGACCCAATCCTCCCGCTTCATTTGCATAGGCTTCTGTTTTCTCTTATTCTGATACTGAAACCGTTTATCACCATCCCTACTGGGCCTGAATCCTCCCGGACCTCCTGGATAAGATGCCTCCCACTGAGCTTGGGCCTGGGTACCCGCAGCGCCGTGGTTGGACAGTATTAGCTGCGTGAGCTCACCCTTCAACTTAGCTACCTCCTGGCGAACGAAGTTTTTGACCCTTTCCTCGGCCATTATCATTTCCTTCTGGGCATTGTTTATCCGAATGTTGGTGTCTGCCAAGAGTCGTGGTAGGTCTTTGGTGGTCTCCCCATGGGCCGCGGTGCGGATATCGAGAACACGAACAAGGTCAGAAACGGCATCGACCTGCTTGAGGATCTGATCAGTTGACCAGTGGCCGTTATTCTCAGCTGTTCTGGCCATTTTGTTAACCGCTGTGTTGAGGTGGTAATGGAGCGAGTCCACATGGGATGCAAGTTGCTGCTCCAAGGTCACCGTGTTCTGGTACCCTGGGTGTGGAGGGGGAGGAGCATACCCGCCATAACTAGTCACGTCGGCAAAATACTGCCCTTCATGGACGGCATTGTTGCTCTGGCCACTCTGGTTATCTCTTAGTCCGTCTCGAGCTTGAGACCTGGCCGGCAAAGGGGGGACAGGTGCTTCACGTGGATACAAGTAGAGCTGATCATCGGTCTGCTGCTCGCAAGCCTTCGGGTTATAATTGGAGGACGAGACGATGAATGGGTGCTTTGGCTTTTGAGCGACCTTATCAAACAATGAAGACAACGAGGCCTTTGTTGCCACTGTTTTGGGGGTGTCATAAATCGACGGCGAGTATGCTCTGGGCGGGAGGCGGGGGGTGCTAGGAGTAACCAGCACCGCAGACTCGTTGCTTTCCGCTTCCATGCTGGGCACTCGATCCTGTACTAGGATAAGTTCAGCTTGGCCAGTGTTACTCAGTTCACCAGTGCGGGCCGGGGGGGAGAGGCCATCATGCAGCAAACCCTCAAGACGTGTGCTTGCGGTGCCTCGACAGCTGTCAGAACTACGCGTGGCACTGTGTTTAACCTTTGCTTCAGTTGTGCCATCGTCACCGCTCTTGGCTTGAATTCGCAAAGGGGGGCAAGACAAAGTACTATATTCGGAGTTTTTTGCTGGGCTGGTAGCGTCAGGGAACTCAGAGGTATGGGCTGGAGCGGAATACGGCTGCACATTGCCCTTCCTAGCCCTGGGAACATACAACTTTGCCTCGTTAAAGTTAGGAGCTGGAGTGGACTGGCTCTCCTCATCAGAAGAGACACGCTTAGAGTCACTGCCCCATACGCCACCGAATTTCGGCATGCTGCTCAAGGGAGGGATCTCTTTGCGGAATTCTTTTCCGATATCCTTGAAGCTGAATTTCGAACGCAGCGTCGCCACCTTTGATTTCTTCTTTCCGAACTTTTCGGACTTCTCAGACTTGTCGGAGCCTTCAGATTTCGAGTTTCGTTCGCTCGGTAGGGCAGGATCAGTTGTGGACCTTTTGTTTGTGACGCTGGGCATGCTCAGAAAGCTCGACTTGGACGCGGGTGACGATATTTCTTCTAGATGGGCAGCACGAGGCTTTGGCTTTGGCATCGGAAGTGCCAGTTCAGCGTCGTAGTCCAATCCAGAGGACGTGTGTGTTTGTGGCTTGGATGCTGGCTCTACAGCCAAGTTAGTCTCGTTATAACACCCAGGCTATTTTCACTATTGTGAATGCGTGGAAGGTAGGAGGGTGAATATTTACCTTTGCCAGGGTTGGCCACTCGCTGTTCTTGCTCCTTGGCCTTCATTTGAGCCCAGGCGTTGCCCTCAACCATGGCTTAGGACACTGGATTCTGAATCGGGCTGGGGGTTTCACAGGACTGTCTGTGTTGTTGCTTGTCTATTTGCAGGAGAAAACAGCAGATTGGATGAGAAAGGGAAACTCAGATTGCTTGACCAGACAGGGTATGTGCAGTGAATGAATGATGACCTTGCCTTGGACAGTTGGGATGTTGTGAATTCACATACGCAAATTCGTGAGAAAGTGAAAACCAAGGTGTGTTTAGCGAGAAGCTGAAATGAAAACAAAGGATTCAGGAAGAATTTCTCAGAGGTTCTGTTACTGGGACATGCGCTTGTTGTTGTTGCGCGGATTAAAAGTGTGAATGGAAATGCGCGCATTTCTTTTAACTGGAGGCTCACTGCCAGAGAGCGTAGAAGTCAGACTCGAAGAAACGTTGGGTAATGACGCTCAGATAAGCCTAATTGCATCGTAAGATTCTGGAAAGTAAGTTTTAGCGTCCATTCGATTGAGCAACTGACTGGAATCTATGGGCCGGAGGTGGTGGCCATGAAGCTTGTTAAGGTGAACAGGGACGTGAAGTAATGGCAACTGAGGGATCAAGTCTACATATCTAAAGGAAGAATAATAAGGTCAAGCAATAGTCTTCATTATCATCAGCTATCATAAACATCAAATCATCACTGCAAACTCGCACAGGTCGGTAAACCAACCCAGCTAGTGATGCACGGACACGGCATTTTGAAGGAGTGGAGGAATAATATGGGTTGAGCAGAGTAAATAAGCAATCCGCATGCAGGGTCCTTCGGTATCAAAGGCAGGGGAATCACGTCGAATCAAATGAGCGGCTCAAACATGTAGTTTGGGGGATTAGGCGTTTCCTGGGGTATATATGGCCTGCCAGAGGAGAGCCAGAAATGGAGCAATAATAACGATCATCAAGAGCAGGTCCCTGGATCGCATTAGTCCACGCAAAATATAAGGCAAAACAAAAAGTCAAATCATTGTTCTTGACTCGACACCAGATTTTGAAACATCGTTTTTTTTTTTTTTTCTTTTTTTTTTTTTCAGTTTGCTCTTCCACGGCGGCGGAAGGGGGCAAAAATGGAACCAAGGAAATTGACAAACACAGCACGCAGGATACTCTTCAACCAACTGTCGTTCTTGTTATTAAGAGAAACAGCAGTGACTGACCGGTTCTGGCTGGGAGATCGTGAATCAATTGCCTTGTTGTTCGCATTGTCCGTAGTGCCTTCCGTTGTTGAGGGTGGTTTAAGGCTCGTGGAGGGGCCACTCTCTACAGCGGTGGATGCCTCGTTCTCTTGGTTCGTATTCTTGGGGTCTTTGGGAGCATTTTCCGTAGGAACAGGAAGTTGCTCGGTGGATGGCAGTTCAAGCTTCCTCAGAAGGGCCTCACCATCGCCAGCAAGCGCAGCCAACGCAGGGTCGGCTGCGGGTTCTGGTGTCGCTGGCGCCTTCGATGCATCTAGAGGTTCTTCGCTGGCGGAGGACTGAACTTGAAGGGCAGCAGGGGAGTCGCTCGTCTTCACATCGCTTTCTTTCACTGGAGTAGACCCAGGGTCTTCCTTGTGGGACACGACAGCCACTCCGGCGGCAGCGGCACCTGCAGCAGCAACTGCAGCGCCTCCAGCGATGACTTCAGGGGTCAAGATGCTGTCCTTATTCTTCGAGTCTTCCTCTTCCTTAGCAGCTGTGGGAGTCTCCTGGGCTTCAGGCGACTCTGGAACTTCTTCTTGGACTGCCACGTTATCGGCAGGTTGGACTTGGGCCTCCTCGACCTTGGATTCCACGGCTGCTCCCGCATTTGTTTCGGGGTCTTTAGCAACGGCAGCTTCAGAAGCACTGGGCTTTTCCTCGACGATTTCAGTGGAGCCTTCCTGAGGAGTCTGCTCGGACGGTTGCGTGGCTTCGTCTGCAACAGGCTCGACAGTTTCGACGTTCACAGTGGCAGTTTCTTGTTCTTCGACAGCAGCAGTGTCCGCAACGGCCGTTTGTACAACAGGGTCTTCCTTCAACGGCTCTTCACGAGCTATTTCGGAGACTTGATCTGCGGCCGCTACCTCCTTTGCTGGCTCCTCAACAACCTCTGTCTTTGCGTCGTGGGCTTCTTTTGCAGCCGTATCATCTACGGTCTGAGGCACCGGGTCCTCCTTCGAAATTTCCGCCGGTGCAGGCTCAACGTTGGCGGAATCATCTTCAGTTGGCTCTTTGCTGGCTGACTCTTCGGGGGCAGCAGTTTCGGGTTCAGGCTCCTTGGAAGTTTCTGGTTCAGCTGCAGGAGCAACGATTTCAGTAACCTTCTCCGTTTCGGGCTCCTTAACAACAGGTTCTGCCTGGGTAGCTTCTTCCACAGGGTCCCTAGTTTCACTTTCCTTAGTGGGATCTTCAGTGGCAGTAATTGGAACTGCTTGATCTTCTGTTGATGTGGGCTGGATAGGTGTCTCGGTGAACTCTTCGGCCGCTACTGTCTTAGAACTGTCAAGCTCTGTGGCGGGTTGCTCTTCGGCAATACTGTTGACAGGATCCTCAACTGCCACGGCTTCCGAATCCGCAGGGGACACTTCAACCGGCGTTTCCGTTGCTGGCTCTTCCGAGCGCTCGGTAGTAGCGGGCACGGGCCCTCCTCCAACAGCGGCCCCTGTGGACTCTTGTATTGCGGGCTCCTCATGCCTCTCTGTAGAAGGAGCATCTACTAATGCTTCCTCGGTGACAGGCACTTCCGCCGCATCATCAAGTGTCGCCTCTTCGGTTGACTTTCCAATTATTGTCTTGTCGACCAGTGTAGAGTCTGTTGCAGCTACCTTTTGCTCGGTCACGGTCTCCTGTTCCGGGACAGTCTCAGTGGGGTTCTGAGGTGTTGCCGCTTCATTAACTGGTTCTTCACCAGACTCAACAACGGGTGCAGCTTCCTCATCTTTTGTTTCCTCGGCCGCAACTTCCTTAATAGCTTTCGCAGGAGGTTCAACTGTAACTTCCGTTGTCTCCACCTTAGGTTCCTCAGTCGCAGCTTCCTTCGCAGGCTCGCTGGCCGATTCAGCAACTGTTTCTTCCGGCTTAGACTCTTCGGTTTCTGTTTGCTTTTCGGGTTCTTCAGACGAGGCTGCATTTGCTGGGGTGGCTGCCTCTGCCGGAGCATCGACAGCTGCAATATCCTCAACTGACTCTTCAGCCTTGGACTCCTCAGTGGCACCCTGCGTCTCAGCCTTGGGCTCCTCAACTACAGTCTTCTCAACCTGCTCTTGAACAGTCTCAACTGCAACAGCGGGTTCCTCAGTAGTGGTCTCCTCGGCTTTGGTTTCCTCCGCCTTGGGCTCCTCTATAACAGCGGGCTGTTCAGCTTTGGGTTCCTCAGCCTTGGTCTCCTCAATAGCAGCGGGAACAACAGCGGGTTCCTCAGCCTTGGGTTCCTCAGNCTTGGGTTCCTCAGCCTTGGTCTCCTCAATAGCAGCGGGAACAACAGCGGGTTCCTCAGCCTTGGGTTCCTCAGCCTTGGGTTCCTCAGCCTTGGGTTCCTCAGCCTTGGGTTCCTCAGCCTTGGGTTCCTCAGCCTTGGGTT